AGCGAGAGCAATTGCTTGAAAAGAAACAGCAGGATCACTACGACAGGGAAGAACGCAGAATTGAACGTGAGGAGAAACAAAAGGTAAGAGACCACGAACGTGAAATGAAGGCGTATGAACTGCGGATTGCGCAGGAACATGTACCTCCTGTTAACCCTGCTCCTGGAGCCTCGAGTACATTGATGTACCCTCGGAGCTCGGCGAAACCCCCCAAACTTCCTTGTTTTAATGATCAGACAGATGACATAGATGCCTACCTCAGACGATATGAACAGTTTGCGGAACTGAACGGTTGGCCTGAAGATGAGTGGAGCCTGTCTCTTAGTGCCCTTCTTAAAGGCAAAGCTTTAGAAGTATTTTCACGATTACCAGCAGAAAAGGCTAAGGACTTCTCTGAAGTAAAAACCGCACTTCTTAATCGTTTCAGACTTACAGAGGAAGGCTTCCGGCTGAAATTTAGAACGTCAAAACGGGAAGTGGGTGAGCGATATGCTCAATTCGCAGATCGGTTGAAAGGATATGTGGAAAGGTGGGTTGAATTAGGGAAGACAGAAAAATCGTATAATAAAGTTGTAGACCTTTTTGTTTCTGAGCAGGTCCTCGAAGTAGCGGACAAAGACCTCGCACTCTACGTGAAAGAACGAAAGCCGAAGGACCTTGCTGAATTGACGAGTATCGCTGATCACTACCTAGAGGCACATGATTGGTTACAGAGAAAACCTGACATGAGAGCAAAGCCATACACCCCTAAGGGTCAAACCCAGACGGGAGGTAAGTACTCGGGTCATAAGAGTCAAACCAATCCACATGACAACCCACACTCTAGTAGACGATGTTACAAATGTAATAAAATGGGCCATATTGCTCAGCACTGTAAGTCAAATCCAAATAATTCCCAACAGTCGAACAAGTCCAATAAGGTTGCAGGTCTGAAGGTAGATACAGAGGCCAAGGAATCAACCCAGACTGGAGCAGCCTGTCTGAACGCGACGGCAAGTCAGTCAGAGGAGATTGAGAAGATAGAAGTTCTACAGACTAACGGCAAGGCGTTTCCATTTATCAGTGCTGCGTGCACCATTGAGCCTTCTATGCCGGTGAGGAAAGGGCTTGTTGGTGAGTTACCTGTAACAGTCCTCAGGGATACAGGGTGTAGTACTGTTGTTGTCCGCCGAGATGTAGTACGAGATGACAACTTGACAGGGCGCATTCAACCGTGTATCCTTTTAGATGGAACAGTCCGGCGAGTGCCAGTTGCCCAAATAGATGTGAACTCTCCTTTTTTCAGTGGTCATGTTGAGGCCTTATGCATGGATAATCCTTTATATGATTTGATTATTGGAAATGTCACAGGAGCTAGAGATCCGCAGAATCCAGATGAGTCATGGCAACCTCCTCCAGCACAGACAGTGACCGCGGAGACACCGCTGACCGAGACCGTTGAGACTCCAGGTGGAGCAGTAGAAACCCGTGGGATGAAGGTTCGGAAAGACAGGGCTTTTCAACCACTACTCGTTAAGGAGACCGATGGAGAAACAGTGTCCAAGGAGGAGATTTTGATGGCACAACAACAGGACCCTACTTTGGCAAAGTTGTGGAAACATGTTGCTGACCAAGATCCACCACGTGTGACGGGTAAGGCTAATGTTTCGAAATATGTCAAGTATCGAGGTCTGTTGTTCAGAGAGTTTCAGTCCCCCAAAGTGGACAAAGGCAGAATTATTAAACAGCTGGTGGTCCCTCAGAAGTATAGGGATGAGGTGTTGAAGCTTGCTCATGACTCTCCACTGGCTGGTCATCTAGGTGTAAAGAAGACAACTGACAAACTATGCCTCAGTTTCTATTGGCCAGGTGTTTCTGGAGATGTGCAGAGGTACTGCAGGTCCTGCGACATTTGTCAGCGGACGGTGTCCAAGGGAAGGGTTGGTAGAGTGTCATTGGGGGAGATGCCACTAATCGATACACCCTTCAAGCGTATTGCTGTTGATTTGGTGGGCCCCATCCATCCCATAACCGACCGGGGTAACAGATACATCTTGGTAGTTGTCGACTACGCAACGCGCTACCCTGAGGCTGTGGCTCTTCCTCGGATAGAGGCGGAGAGAGTTGCTGAAGCTTTGCTTGAAGTCTACTCGCGGTTAGGGATTCCTCAAGAAGTGCTGACAGATATGGGAACCCAGTTTACATCTGAGGTAATGAGAGAAGTTGGAAGACTACTGATGATTAGACAGCTTACTACGACCCCCTACCATCCCATTTGCAATGGCTTAGTGGAGCGATTCAATGCTACCTTGAAAAAGATGCTGCGCAGAATGTGCGCTGAAAGACCTAAAGATTGGGACAGGTTTCTTCCAGCACTCTTGTTTGCCTACCGTGAGGCTCCTCAGGAGAGCTTGGGATTTTCTCCCTTCGAGCTGATGTATGGTAGGCCAGTGAAGGGACCTCTCTCCATCCTTCAAGATATCTGGTCAGAGGACACAGTTGACGAGGATGTCAAAACCACCTACCAGTATGTTGTTGATCTGCGTGAAAGGTTGCAGTCCACTTGTGAGCTAGCACGAGATGAGTTGGCGAAAGCATCTAAACGATACCAAAAATACTACAATGCCAAGGCCAGTGATAGGAGATTTCGAGTAGGAGACAAGGTTTTAATTCTTAGACCAACTGATCACAATAAGCTCTTGATGCAGTGGACAGGTCCTTATCCTGTGATGAGACAAGTTGCAAAGCACGACTACGTGATTCAGGTAGGAGAGAAAGAACGAACCTATCATGCTAACCTGCTAAAGCTGTATGTAGAACGAGGTAGGCCTGAGGAAGTCTGTCCAGCAGAGGCATTGGGTATGACAGGAGTTGGGTTTGTTGTTGAAGATCCGGATGATGACGATGGGTTGGATGAAGTTGTTCTCCCACCAGTGGAGGCAAAAGAAAACATCACAGATGTTCATCTTGGAGACAACTTGGATGATGCTCAGAGGGCAGAGGTTGGTAGAATTCTGGAGCAGTATTCAAATGTTCTTACTGATATGCCAGGCAAAACTGATATTATCGAACATACAATTCATCTCACAACTGACATTCCTATTAGGTCAAGACCCTATCCAACACCACAGGCTACACGTGAAGTCATCAGGAAAGAGGTAGACTCGATGCTGAAATTAGGTGTCATAGAACACTCCGAGTCGCCCTACGCATCCCCTATAGTCCTAGTAAGGAAGCCTGATGGCACTAACCGTTTCTGTATTGATTACAGGAAAATAAACAGCATCACGGTTTTCGATCCGGAGCCCATCCCAAATGCAGATGACTTGA